ACAAAGTCATTTCGGGACTAACATATGGTAGGGTCTTTAACGATTGGGTGAAACCATGAGGACCCGGAGTAAACCCACGAAGTTACTCAGACGACCCCACTCCTTGTCACGTACAGGCTTGGGATTGAAACCACGCCACTTGACCCAATGACAGACCTTATGATCTAAAGCGCACGCGTTATACCACTCGGCCACCAAACCCCTAAATACATAAAGAAAACAACTAGAAAGAATGTATGCAATCTAATGTTCACTCGACAAATCATGTGAACATCCCTTTAAATAAAGGGGGGTGGAGGTGGATGGTCGAATGGTTATCGCGTGTGCGTTGTATCATAAGGTCTGTCATTGTGTCAACTGGCGTGGTTTCGATTCCACGGTTGTACGTGACAAGCAGTAGGGTCGTCTATCCAACCTCGTGTGTTTTCTCCTGGTCCTCTGGTTTCCTCCCACTGCTAATGTGGACGTTAAACCTCTCTCTCTCTCTCTCTTTCTTTCTTTGTTCATTGTAATATCTAATTTAATATTTTAGATAATTACCTCACGTGCTGACGTTGTTATTATTGTTACGTTTCTTTATTTGTTATTAAAGAAAGAAAATTTATAGTTTGTCGATGATGATATCGTTTCTAAATATAGATTACTTCTTTTAGATAACAGCTGCCTCTTTGTAATCATTATATTAAGAAATAAAAGCACGGCGTTTCCAAGCACCGTCATCCTCGACTAACCATAACTTTATCTAGTGCTTTGTTTAATACACGCGTAAGATTATTCGCCAGGGCAGCGACATTATGGAAGACTTTTGGCCCATACACTCTTGATAAGCGTATAAGACTATTTGCCTGGGTAGTGACATTATGGAATACTTTTGGCCTATACACTCTTGATACGCGTATAAGACTATTCGCCAAGGCAGCGACGTTATGAAAGACTTTTGGCCTATACACCATTGATACGCGTATAAGACTCTTCGCCACGGCAGCGACGTTATGAAAGACTTTGGCCTATACACCATTGACATTACAGCCTATTAGTTCCTGTATTGTTAACTTCTAAATAGTAAACGCGACTCTTTTACTTCGAATATTTAGGTTAGTTTTTTTTCATGTCCACCGAAGAAAGCGATCATATTCGCATTAATCTCGTGTTATTACGACTAGTAAATGTTTGTTTTGAAGTATTTAGCGAAAGTCGATTGTTTCACAAGTTTTTATTTCACCTTTGGCTTATCAAGTGTCAACAGTAGAACACTAAACCAATCCAGTGACTAGATGGGTATTACGGTGGCTCGCCATCTAGGAGACCCAGTTCGGCTTCCCCTTGTCAGTGGTGTTGTTCGGATCTGGCGAAAACTCGATGCCCTATGTATATTGGCAGAACGTTAAAGTCCCCTGGCAGTTGGGAATTGAAATAGGAGTAGGTCCAAGCGCCGCTATTCAGGCAAAGTTTTCCTCGTGCAGCACACCACATGGGTAAGACGCTGGCTCGCTAGCCTGGAGGTCACGTGTTCGATCCCTGCATTGGCCGAGAAAGTGCATCGGGATTTTCCGGCGTTGTTTCTCCTTGTCAGTGGTGCAGGACAGAGGGCCTGACAAGGGCAGCTGTCCAGTTGTTCACATGGGACGAAAAACCGAGGTCCCGTTCATACATTGGCGTGCACGTAAAAGATCCCTTGGCAGTTGGAATTCGATATAAGAGTAGGCCGTAGCGCAGCTGTCCGGGCACAATTTCCCTCATAGCACACTGTATGGCGTACGACCATCTTCATTAGCCCAGTTTAGGAGCAGAACAGTAGGACGTTAAACCTCATTTCATTTAGTCAGTCTCCATTAGCCAGATCGGAGCAGAAAAGTAGGGCATTAAACCCCATTTCATTTCATTCAGCCATTTTACGATTCCTGTTATAAAATCGACCTAACCAACACGTAACAACCGTTCCACATTCTCACTCGCACATCTAATAAACAAAACAAACCTTACGTTTGACGTACATGCTCCGTTACGAATTCGTGTCCTATAAACCCGAATAGTTCACATTCTACCCTAATACAACCCGATTTCTCACACCTAACAAATTATACTACGTTTGTTTGGTTAAGTTCGGGTGTTAAGAATTTGTGTTTTTGTAAAAGCATGCATTGTACATTTTACACTGTAGTACTATATTGATAATCCACAAAACACCCAGGTCATTGTCGAGTCGATCTTTTCAGTTTCTCTAAACCTTAATAATCACGATTAATCGACGGTTGACACCCTTCACAAAAATCCAATTTGCCATTATTGCTATTAATGCATGAATACAGTTTTATTATCAAACTTCCGATAGCTAATTGGTAATCAAGTATTATTGAGTTTATCGACTGGCTGGACATAAATAAGGGGTTTGGATGGCCGAATGGTTAGTGCGTGTGCGTTGTATCATAAGGTCTGTTCTTGAGTTAACTGGCGTGGTTTCGATTCCCCGGTTGTTCGTGACAAGGAGTAAGGTCGCCTGTCCAACCTCGTGGGTTTTCTCTGGGTCCTCCGGTTTCCTTCCACTGCTAAGCGAATTATTGAAATAAAATTGAACCATGGGTTAGTCCCAAAATGACCTAGTTTGTGTCGAGGTGGCGTTACCGCCCCCTCTCTCTCTCTTTCTCTCTCTCTCTCTTTCTTTCACTCTCTTTCTCTCACACGCAATTTTAGTATCAAACTTGTGGTTGGACACAAATAAATAATATAAAAAGACATCCATGTGACGAATTTATACTTTCCTTATATGATAGATATTGGCCGAGAAAGTTCATTGGGATTTTCCGGCGTGGCTTCCCCTTGTCAGTGGTGCAAAACGGAGGCCCTGACAAGGACAACTGTCTAGTCGTTCGGATGGGGAGAAAAATCGAGGTCCCGTGTATACATTGGCGTGCAGGTAAAAGATCCGTTGGTAGTTGGAATTCGATATAAGAGCTGGCCATAGTGCCGCTGCCCGGGAAAAATTTTCCTCATAGCATACTGTATGGCGTATGTCCGTCTTCATTATCCCAGCATGGGAGCAGAACAGTAGGACGTTAAACCCCATTTCAATTCATTTCTTTTATATGATAGATATTGAAATGTTTCTTTGAATGGCATTTAGCGATTGAACATAATATAACAAAACAGTTCTATGGATAACAATCTTTACATTATATACACACGGCGTTTCAACAAGAATTCACTGGTGGTTATCAAGCATACAAATTACAGATGAGGAAAAAATTGTGACAGTGTTATATATATATATAGGTACATTGAACAATAATAATAGAAACCATAAGTTAACATGTATTATCTTAAGATACATGTATATAGATTTACAGAAGATGCAAATATCTACATAGTGCCACGGCCTAGCAAACAAACAAACAGGTCACAAGGTCAAAATGTAACCCCTGACCTTTGTTTATTTTATAAACAGTTATTATGGAATACCTATTTTTGATTTGAGAGAGAGGGGAAAGAGAGAGAGAGAGAGAGAGAGAGAGAGAGAGAGAGAGAGAGAGAGAGATGGGGGTAACGTCCACTCGACACAAACTAGGTCATTTCGGGACTCACATGGTTTAATTTTATTTCAATAATTCTCTTGCGTGTATGGGTCTTTAGCAGTGGGAGGAAACCGGAGAACCCGGGGGAAACCCACAAGGGCGCACAGGCGACCCTACTCTTTGTCACATACAACCGGGAATTCGAAACCACGCCAGTTGACTCAATGACAGACCTTATGATACAGCGCGCACGCATAGGCGTAGGAGCTCAAAGTAATTCAGGGGGGCATAAGAGAAAATTGCCCGAAATCAATACCGTTTTTTCGGGCATACATATCATAAGAGAGCTTCGGGCATATTTTCGGGCATGCAGTGGACAAGAAAAAGACGAGAAAATACTTTTCGGGCAGTGTGAATCTCATAGAAATAAGTTAGTTATATTTTTCTGCCCCCCCCCCGGCTCCTACGTGCTAACCATTCGGCCATCCAACCTCTCTTTTGATTTGAGTGTGCAGTACTTGTACATTTCTAAACTATACAACGAAAACATAGCGTTTATAGAAATGAAATGAAAGAGGGTTTAATGTCCTACTGGGCTAATGAAGACGAACATACGCGGTGAAATTTGCCTGAACAGTGGCGCTACAGCCTACTCTTATTCTTATTCATGGGTCAGTCTACTTGCACGCCTATGTGAACACTGGACGTCTGTTTTTCGTCCTCTCCGAAGAACTAGACACTGTCATTGCCAGGTTCCCCGTCCAGAATGTTTAAAGAAATGACAGGATAATTTCTATCTCTCGTCAACACTGTGCTGGCTATTAAAGATATAAATTTCATTTGATATCAATTTACTATCGACCCGAGAATAGCGCGATCTAGAACATATCAAAGAACATACTCGCGGTTTTTGTATCGGTGTATTCAAGTTCAACTGAAATCTGATACCGTCGCTTTTGTATCAATGAAAATAAATAAAATGAAATAAAATGTGGTTTAATGTCCTACTGTTCTGCTTCGACTGAGCTAATGAAGACGGGCATACGCCATACAGTGTGCTATGAGGAACATTTTGCCCGGACAGCGGCACTAAGGCCTACTCTTATATTGAATTTCAAATGCGTGCCAATGTGTAGACGGGCCTCGGTTTTTCATCCCATCCGAACGACTATACGTTTTCCCTTGCCTTGGTTTTTCTCCGGGTTGTCCGGTTTTCTCCCACTGCTAAAGGCCCCTACGCACAAGCGTATTATTAAAAAAAATGAACCATGTGATAGTCCCGAAATGATTTAATTTGTATCGAGTGGACGTTAAACCCCATCTCTCTCTCTCTCTCTCTCTCTATCTCTCTCTCTCTCTCTCTATAATAATAATCCGCGGTTTGAGCACACAATGTAATATTGATAATAATTGTATACGGTGCTCAACACAAAGAGCACGATCAATGAACATTTTAATATTTAAAATAATGAAAATAATTTTTATACTTACACATATTCAAAGCTGTAGATCCATAATTAAACACTAATATATATAAAACAGTAAGTAAACAACAAGTCATTATGGTATATTGAAATATAAGTAGTACATTATATATGTAGTGCTGAGTCTAGCGAGGTTAACTCTAACCACTGTCAGCTTTAACTGATACTATACTCAACACGGCCCATCTATACACAACAAAGAGACACGCGTATTCATTCAGCCGTGTCATATTGAAACGGTAACCAGTATCATCGATTGCCAGGCGTGTATGTATAATTTAATACGGACCAGGGAACCCTAAGGTTTATTAATTATTTGGTAAATATATATATTGTTTCAGTGCCATTTAGTAATTGAACTGGAATATACAGGTCACAATTCCATGACATTGTTCATTACTGAGCTACATGTAGACTAGGCTTCTCTAGTCATTATCAAGCAATGGTATCAAGAGAGAGGGAGAGAGGGAGAGAGAGAGAGAGAGAGAGAGAGAGATGGGTTTAACATCCACTCGATATAAACTAGGCCATTTCGGGACTAGCATATGGTTCAATTGTATTTCAATAATTCGCTTGCACGTATGGGTTTTTAGCAGTAGGAGGAAACCGGAGGACCCGGAGAAAACCCACGAGGTTGGACAGGCGATCCTACTCCTTGTCACGTACAACCGGGGGATAGACTCAGTTGACTCAATGACAGACTTTATGATACAGCGCGCACGCGCTAAACATTCGGCCATCCACACACCCCTCCGCGTGACCATAGAAACAATTATGTTAGTCTCAGAATGATGGAGGTTTGTATTGACGTAACGTTTAAACCTCATTCTATTCTATTAACCATATATGGTCGACAGCTGTCTAGTCGTTCGGATGGGACGAAAACCCGAGGTCTCGTGTATACATTGGAGTGCACGTAAAAGATCCCATGGCAGTAGGAATTCGATATAAGAGTAAACCATAGTGCCGCTGCTCGGCAAAAATTTCCCTCATAGCACAATGTATGGCGTATGCCCGTCTTCGTTAGCCCAGTCGGAGCAGAACGGTAGGACGTTAAACCCCATTCCATTATATTAGCTATATATGGTTGACATTATCGATTACCATTAGAAGAATGAACCTTTTAATACTACAGTCGTCGACATCATTGACTCCATTTTAGCTCTACAAAATGGCGGTCATAATAATACAATAAAATCTTTATTCGCTTTACGGCTGTTACAGATACTGCTTGATGAATCGTGGACCGTGAATAATTAGTAAAGTGCAAATACATGCGTTAATCTATGTTATTAGTTCAACACAGTTTCGGATTTTCATCAATCCTTGAATCAATGTATTATTGAAGATCAATAAATGATATGAATGGATATGCTAATATTTAATTAATTAATTCATTCATTCATTCACAAACCACTCACTCACTCACTGTTCCTAATTTTAAAGATACATTATGGGAGATTAGATAAAGAGTTGGCAATTCTCACTATAATAGTTAAAAACTAGATAATGTAAACGGAATTTGCTGAAAAGTTCAGTCAAATTGATCCATTCTGAACCGAGAATTTATGGATTGAATTTTAGGCCTAGCCTCGATCATTATTACTAAAGCCGGTACGATAAAAAACAAAGTCTCGATTATCCATTTTGACGTTAAATCATCCATCACAATATGTATTCAAAAATTGATCCACTCTGAACCGAGAATTTAATGTCGTGCGATAAAAAAAAAAACATGGTCTCGATTATCCATTTTTGGATTTATTCATCAATGAGCGTTGAACACAGATTGGATTCTAATCCAGTAAACATCGCAGATTAGCGTTGACATCGATAGTTGATTATTGTCTTGTCATGTTAATTAATGTCTAATTAATAATTTAGATAACATTTAAGGCCTAAAGAAAGACCTGCAATAGACAGATTTAGCTCTTGCATAATGTATGTTTAAGTTTTAAAATAATTTCCACACTATAAATATTAAACTGTGTCATGTCAATAAGTAAATTATCGCCCTCGGCATAAATAATATATAAGTTTCACGTTTTACTGCAATATAATTCGTGTCATCATAAACCGCCTTAAACTATAATGGTAAGATTCATAAATAGCCCTCTATCTTAAAATCAAATTCTTTTTTAAAAATCGTATTTTCATTTAACACATTAAATTTAGTAGACTCGTAAATTTTATTTGTCGAATCAATTTTTTGTAATTAATTTATTCCTATGCATGAACAAATACAGACAAGGGGTTTCTCATTTTATTGAGTGTCTGGTAATCGTATGTCTAATGATATATGAGTCTTGTACACGATCCAGGGCATGCTTTCTAGAAATGAAATGAAATGAAATGAAATGGAGTTTAACGTTCTACTGTTCTGCTCCTAACCTGGGCTAATGAAGACGGGCATACGTCATACAGTGTGCTATGAGGGAAATTTTGCCCGGACAGCGGCACTACGGCCTACTCTTATATCGAATTCCAACTGCCAAGGGATCTTTTACGTGCACGCCAATGTGTACACGGGACCTCGGTGTTTCGTCCCATCCGAACGACTAGACAGCTTTCCTTGTCAGCCCCTCCGTCCTGCATCACTGACAAGGGAGAACCACGCCGGAAAATCTGGATGAACTTTCTCGGCCAATGCAGGGATCGAACACCCGACCTCCAGGCTAGCGAGCTAGCGTCTTACCCACTTAGCCACGTGATCCCCATGCTTTCTAGAACACCTAATACCATTGCGAATGTATTTGGGAAGCTCGTATAGCTAAAAACTTTCATAATAGAATATACTCTAGCTGTTGTCGCATACAAGTGGACATATAGTTAGCGTTGTATCATAAGGTCTGCCATTGAGTCAACTGCCGTGGTTTCGATTCCTCCTACTGCTAAAGATCCCAACGCGCATGAGAATTATTGAAGTAAAATTTGGATTTAACGCCCACTTGACAGAAACTAGGTCATTTCGGGACTAATATATGGTTCAATTTTATTTCAATGATTCGCTTGCGCGTAGGGGTCTTTAGCAGTAGGAGCCACCCGGTGAAAACCCACGGGGTTGGACAGGCGACCCTACTCCTTGTCACGTACAATCGGAGAATCGAAACCACACCAGTTGACTCAATGACAGACCCTAATGATACAACGCGCACGCTTTAGCCATTCAGTCATCCAAGCCCTCTAAATGTAAAAGAGAAACATTTGTCAATTAATGTAAGGGGTAGAGTTTTCAAACGTTTATTTGAGAACACGTGGGAAGATGTCGTCTAGACGTAACAATATATTTTGACAAAGATTTGACATGCTCTGAAATTGACAACAATGTGATTACTTTAATGTGGTTTATTTCACGAGTTAATGACGTGTTGATGACGTATTCTAACATTTTATACACAAGAATAACACGAATATTTATATATTAGACAATATCTATTCACATTAACACCTGACACATGTATATAATTAAAATGATAGTTTTTATAAGCTTAATAATTAACTCACTGTGTAAATTACGTGTTAGATTGTTTTTATAGTACATTTTTTAATGTTTATATTAAAAACGGGTCATGAATAAAATGTCATCACGTTAACTATTAAGCCACGTGGCTCTTCTTTTAGATTTTAACATTTGTACAACTAAAATCGGAAAATTATCTACTATGAAAACTAAAGAAATTTAAGCTTCAGGGTTTCTAATTCCGGAGGGGTTCCAGAAGCGACTTCAGATACATTATGGAAGATTAGATAAAGAGCTGGCAGTTCTCACTATAATAGTTAAAGAATTGAAACTGTAAAGGGAATATGCTGAATATGTCTGTCAAATTGCTCCACTCTAAACCGAGATATTAGCATTTGAATTTTAGGCCTACCCTCGATCATCATTACTAAAGTCGGTACGAAAGAAAACATATTCTCGATTATCCATTCTTGGATTAAATCATCAAAGTGCGTGAGCTGAAAATCGGATTCAAATCCAAAGAATATCCGACACACAAGATGGCATCGAGAGTTGATTAAAGTCTTTTCATGTTAATAAATGTCTAATTAATAATTTATATAACATTTCTATCCTAAAGAAAGACCTGCAATAGACAGATTTATGTTTAAGTCTACTGTAGGAAGTTCTGATATCGGAATAGGTTGGGTATTCTGGTCATATTCCAGGTACAATTGGGACTCCGTAATCGAGTTCTAATTGAATTGGGCAAGTGTAGAGTTTTGAATTAATATCGTTATATATCGTCTGTAATGAACAGCCCCACTGTAGAAGACCACTGTGGTTACTCAGACCAAGTTGCTGGTTGAGCTGTTATAGTGTGTCTTTCTATATATTTTATTACTATTTAATTTTAGTCGAAATAGCAATTGACCAATGTCCGAATTGATATCTCGCTAATCTTTCAAGTCTTTTAACTGTTTGGTTTTAAACTTAATGTAACGATATATATTATGTAATTATAGTTAACACGCGTTCTTGCTATGTCCATATCTTCTTCTGTATTTAAACATCTGTTTCCTATGTACAATTTAACATTTCTGATCAAATATTATTATATAATTATTTTAATCCTAAGCTTGTATATATGTTCTATATTCTGCTGTAACTTTAGCCTGGTGACCGGCTCGCCCTAGCGATACCTATCTCGTTATTGTGACCGTTAACCAGTTTTGGAACTCGTTTATTAAAAGTATAATTTTAACTATTTATCTGAGTTTTCGTCGTTAGTGTTGGAATAAGCTACAACCCCCAGAAACAGCACTTCGACAGAGCTATAACAGTTTAAGCTTACGAGTTGAGTTCTCTAGTATGTGGTTCCGGCACTGACTGAATCTAATGATCGTTACTAATTAAAAGGCATCGAATAATTTTAACAGATATTTCTAAACTATGTTGATAACCTGTGAATTTGAAACAAAACATAAAGAATTTGGACAAAAACGCATTAAAAACAACAAAGAGGCGAAAAGAAAAGTTGTAGAAATTAACACAAATGTTGATTGTTGTAACAACGTACAAACAGGTGAGAAGAAAAGGTAAATAATAATAATACAGGAAGGTAACCTAATTACAGGTAATTAAACAGGTGTCAAGAAATGATTTCATTAAAATCAATTAACTATCGTGATTTGTTTTTTTGTACCT